GGAGGGGAGCTATGGGGGGGAAAAAGAGGAACAACTGTAATAATCTGAACAATAAAGATTTAATTAAAAAAATAGTTAATACAGTGTATAGGCACTTCATAAAGTTTCAATGAAGGCTGACCTGGGGGTTGGGGGGACTTAAGCTTTATCTGTACCTCCCTTAATGCTTCAGAGAGTATAATATCAGAATGAAAGGCAACCATAAACCAAAAGGTATATAATTAAGTCACACTAAAAAAACTCAAATTGAGCTTAATAGGAAACAACATTTAAGTTAAATGACCCCCTTTAAATAATAATGCACAACCAAATATTAATTAATTGTTCACCTTAATTCTTCAGATAAGCTTTGTCTTCAGCAACATTACATTTCCTTGTTAAATAATATTGGCTTATATACATAAGCCTAATATGTTCTCAATTCCTTGTGAATAGATTGTTGACATTCAGAGGGGATGCCAATAACAGCAGCTGAACTTGCAAAATATTAATAGGAGGATCAATTCAGCAACATCATTAGAGACAATTAATGTTAGACTCATGCATAAAGATTCCTAAGCTATAAGAAACATTTTAAGACTTGGCAATTACTAATTTATGTTTTACTTAACAATTCCAATAAAATCAACTTCCCGACTCTGCTGAATATAGTTTTGGTTAGCCAGCATTAGGCAATGAAAAAAAAACAACAACAAATATCAGAGGACGTTTCTTTCCTTTCAAACAATTCTGTTCAGTTTACAATGTCAAGGTGCCCAGCTGTTTAATTTCATAACTGCAGCAAATGCCTAGGCCACAGTGCAAAACAGGTAACAATAACCTTTGGTTTTATTTCCAAAGGGAACTGTAATCACTAATGTACCTGTGGACTCTAAATCAAGAGAAACTAAAAATATAAAATCTGAAATTAAGTTTTTTTCTTGTTTTTCCTCAAGCTAAATCATTGAACAATATTGCTTGAGCTAGGGGGTGACCCTGATGTTGATAGAACCTTACATTCATTTTAAAAGGGAAATTGAAAGGATGTTTGGGTTATGTGGCATTTTCCATGTTTTGAATAGAAATAACCAAATCTGAACATTCATATTGAGTAGAAAAGGCCCCAAAAGAAAGAAATATCAAATTCTCAATTTTTCCTATAACATTGCCGGTAAAATAAGAAGTCAGGACTCTGTCTCTAACAAAGCTATAAGGGTCCTGTTGGAGGCTGACATCTTACTTGATGTCATCCTCAAAAGGGTAGGAAAATTGTTCCCTGCATATTGATAGCCCTCCAACTACATTTATGTAGCTGTAATCTACGGACGTATTGGAAACCACTATGTCCTTCAACTATACCCTGGAAAATGCTCTGAACTCCTATAAAGTAAAAAGTACCTAAAATTCAGGAAGAGAAAATATCTCAAATTAAATAAATCCGCATTTCACAAATGCTTGTACAAGTTTTATGAGATTATTTGTCAGTTATTAACTGAGTTAGGTACACACTTCTGAGTACCTCTTTTATACTCCTTTAATTCCCCACTTATTCCCCACTTACCTCTATTATAGCACCTATCACATAGCACTTAGAAAAGCCAGTTTGATCTTTTTCTTAAATGCAAATTTGATTATGTCACTCCCTGCTTAGTATACTTCAGTGGTCTCCTGCTATTTCCAAGGTAACATTCAGACTCTTTACTTTGGACTCCATGATCTGGCCTTATTAACCTTTGCAGCATTATCTGCTGCCATTGCTTCCCTTCCATCCTCAGTTTTAGCCAAACTGGCCTACCTATAGCTTCTCCAGAAAGCCACACTTGCTTCCCTCAGTGACTTAACATATTTTTCCTGCAAATTTGAATGCCTCCCCTTCCCATTCACCTGGCCAATTCTCTTTACCTTTAAAGATTCATCTCCAGTGACATTTTCTTCTGAGATTATTTTTTATTTTTCTCACATACGACCAACAACTCAAACCTACAAAAAACACAGGTGTTTCTTTATTGCTCTCCTTTAGCTCCTACTGAATATTATCATAGCACTTAATGCTTTCACAATTGTGGATTTTCTCAATAGTCTTCCCCAATATACTGTGAGCTTGTGGTACATAGGGACTCTATTTTATAAATTTCTGAATTCTTTACAGCCTCAGTGCCTAACTCAAAATGTTGGTTTAAACAATGAAACAAAGGGGAACAAAAACATTTAAATTTTCCATTTATAAATTCATTTTTAATATATATATTTTATTGATTTTTTTTCAGAGGGAAGGGAGAGGGATAGAGAGTTAGAAACATCGATGAGAGAGAAACATCGATCAGCTGCCTCCTGCACACCTCCTACTGGGGATGTGCCCGCAACCAAGGTACATGCCCTTGACTGGAATTGAACCTGGGACCCTTCAGTCTGCAGGCCATTGCTCTATGCACTGAGCCAAACTGGTTAGGGCCATTTTTTGTTCTTAATAGATATAGCTTTGACCTATAAACCTTCAATGTAAATACAATGTGACACTGTAGGCTCAATTTTCTATCATCTATGATCCTAGGGAAACTGCTTCTAGTTTCCTGCTTGTTGGAAGGCAGTTCTCTGGCATTCTGTTGATTCAGGCTTCCTGGCCTCAATTCCATGTTCTCATTACCACCTCAATTTTCTTTTGGGGCCTGATTCCAAGATTCTTGTCCTTTTTCTAGCCTCTCTTCTGAATCTCCCTTTGATTAACTCAAGTAACTTATAAGGGCCCTTTATCACTTATCCCTAGGTATGTATAGCATGAACTCTTCATTTGTGGAGGTTACTTAATAACTTTAAAAAAGCAAGACATTGAATAGAGCCAAAAGTAATATGTTTAGAATCATAAAATGCTTATGATCTTAGGGAAGGGGGTATTATAGCATAGGAGTGGTAAGCATTATCACTTCTCATTGTTCCCCAGTAACAACATTACTCTAAATCAATAGAGGAAAGTTCTATCCTAATGTTACCTACTGGTAAACTGAATTTCAGCCCAATGCCCATGTATTCAGTCATCTTATAGTTTTTTTCCCCCACCAAGTTTAACTGGAATTAATAAGACCAAACATTTTACTAAAGTATTTCTTCTGTAATAGGCCCTAAACATGCTGTATGGATAGGTCAGCATCCCTACAGTAATCACAATTCCAAAAAGAATGTATGTTTAAACAGCTTCAAGAGTAGGATACTTCTGGAATAAAACAGCTGTTGACCTTTAAATATAATTTTGTAACACAGGTCTTTCAAATGTTACTGACCCCAAAGAAGGTATCACATAATACATTTGCCTTATTGAATAATAATTAGCAATATTCTTTAAAGGTCTTCTTTCTCTCTTGGGCCATTGATGTTTTCATGCTTTTGAAGTGTATTCAATACCTTTAATATTTTTATAATCCTCAAGCTACCTTATATTCTTTTGCAAAATCCACTGTACCTCATGATTTGCTGTGGAGATTAGCATTTTATTTATACCTTTTCTTTTTGATGCCTTGTAAAAAAGGAAGAAGCATAGATGCAGGACTATTTCAGTGTCATTTTGAATTCCCTCATTCTGTATCATGAAGAATAATATCATTTTTAAAACATATCCTTCCAATTCCATCCCATGGGGAGTGGAAGTGGGTAATTTGTAAAATGTTATAGATTTTTATTTGCATGTTGCAAATGATGAAACTTCTAAATCTCTCATCAGCCAAGTAAAGTAGTAATACTTTGCTATGACATAAGGAAAAACATGATTGTAGATTTTTATAGTGTTTGCTAAGAAGTCCTTACACGTGGAGAAATCATTAACACTTCCTATTATGAGTGAAAAAAATATATGTGTTGGTCTTAATTTGTCAACCAATAACCTAGATTTTGGTGATGTAGGAGGTAAAATTCAATAGGATTTATCATTGATTTGACAAAAACATGTGAATGCCTAGTGCAGAAAGCAATTGTGCCTGAGAGACAGTACGTATGATGGTCAAAATCCAAGCTGTTTCTAACTTCTGCAAAAAAAAACCCCAAAGAGTGATGAATTAACTATCTGAAACATGAACCAGAACAGGGGATCTTAAGCAATGCCTATAACTCCTTTAAGGTCAAAAGGATACAAGAAAATAGAAAAGTGTGTCAGTGGATATAATACAACTAGAGGCCCAATGCACAAAATTCATGCAAGGGCCTTGGCCCCGGCCACCGCCTGCCACCGCCGTTGCCGGGGGCCTCTGCCACCTCTGCTGCAGCTCCTGACCACTGGGGCTTTGTCCAGAAGGAAGGACATCCAGAAGGTCGTCTGGTCTAATTAGCATATTTCAGTTTTATTTTTATAGACCGGTGCACAAATTTGTGCATGAGTGGGGTGCCTCTGGATGGCCTGCAGAGATCGGGCCAAAACCCACAGTCCAACGCCGCCTGCAGCTCCTACCTGCTGCTCCCGCTCATCCTGGCCCCACTGTGCCTGCCACGGGCTCGTGCCTGATCAGGAGAGGCTTGTGTTGCCACAGCAGCACTTGCCAGCCATGAGCCCTGCACCTGGCATCCTCCAAGGGGCGTGGCCTGCAGGATAAGGCTGAAACTGGCTCTCTGACCTCCCCTGAGGGGTCCTGGATTGCCAGAGGGTGCAGGCCAGGGTGAGGGACCCCACTGGTGCACAATTAGGCTGGGGAGGGGCTGCAGGAGAGCTCCAGGGTGTGTCAGACTCATCTCCCTCAGTCCTGATCAGCCGGACCCCAGGAGCAAGCTAACCTACGGGTTGGAGCATCTGTCCCCTGGTGGTCAGTACATGTCATAGTGACTGGTCGGCCAGCTGACTGCCCCCTGGTGGTCATTGCACGTCATAGCAAGCAGTTGAGCAACCTTAGCATATCATTATCATATTACACCTTGATTGGTTGTTCGGGTGATCTACCGTTTAGTCTATTTGCATATTACCCTTTTATTATATGGGATGAAAGTGATGAAGAAAAAATGAAAAAGAACAAAATGGTGTGAAGACATAATAAGGTTAAATAACTAGTCTGAGATGATTCAGGAAATAGTTAATGACTTAGTTTAAATTAATTTTAGGGTTTACATCTGAAATCCAAACTAGAAGATATTTAAAGAGTTTCCAGATAGACAGATATATAGCTTGCTGTTACAGGAAACAATTCTGTGATGAGAAATATGTTCATTTCACCCCAATCCTAAAATATCTTAGATATTGGACAGAAAGAGGCATTGTACAAGAGTAAATAATAGGCATAACACTTGTCCTATGAGAAGATACAGGAAGCAAGGAAGCAAAAGCTGCCAGTGATGCATATAAAAAGACTCATAGACATGACAAAATGTTTACCTTTTCTAATAATATGATTATTAGAAAATTATCTTTTCTAATAATCTGATTCTTCACTCCCACACATATTGCTTACTCCCAGCATCAGTGATAAACTATACATTCTGATTTGGTCTCCCAATTTTGATAGCTGGTTGGACCATCCACACTCACTTATCTTTGGGATTAGAAGTACAGATTTATAAGAAAGATAGCCCATTCTAGGGGAAATTATAATGATGTTAAGGTATTCATTATCCAAAGTATAATAATGAAAGCCAAATTACATGCTTTATTTTCCACTAGAACTTCAGATGTACACTCCAGTATGTCTGCAGTGAAAGTAATGGCAAGGTAATGAGTGAAAGAGCAAATATATTTCTTATACACTACATTTACCTGGATTGTCTGAGGAAGAGTATATATACTTTATCTATAAACTGCTCACTGTGTCATTGTGGCTAAGGCAAGGTATCCATAGTTGACATTTTCCTGTCTAGCCAGGTAGGGAAAGAATAATAACAAAGTAATAAAATGGAAAAAAATATAATTCACTTTATGAAAACTCACTTTATGGTCAGCTCTGGGCAAACCTCTATATTACCTTTAGGGTAGTGCAAAGAGTGTAAGCTGTTCCCTTATCACCACATAGTTTGCATGGTTGTATATTAGAAAAGTACATGTCCATTCTCACTGAAAAATTGCATACCCAACTGAGGACAAAGGGTAGCTTTGCTTATTCAGCAAATTTTTTGGATACGCAGTTTTCTAAATGTAACTTCTCAAAAGCATTTTGGCATATGTGAAGTGCATGTTTTTAAGTTAAAAAAGATTAGTCTTCAATATAAACACAATAAAATGTAAAACAAATTATAATATTATTACAGTACCTTCTCAGACACTCATGACTTAACTAGAATGAGATTATATATCATGTGCTAACAAAAGATGAGAAAGCCTATATATCAGTTCTATGCCTTTCTATGAATAAAGCTATAATAAAATGAGTTGCTGAGTATCTGTGAATTTAATTTTTTATGAATATAGAAACAAAGTACTACATCCAGTTCTGTGCAAACAATTTCTATGAGGATCTATAGAAACTACAATGTCCCATAATTCATTTCCATAAGTCATTTATAAAATTATACATAACCAGGCATTAGCTCCTAAATATATATCACCCCCAATTTCTTAGTGTTTAGTGAGAAAGTAGAAAATTTAACCTTGGTCAATTAAGCTCACCTCTAAATTGCTACCTAATCATGTTGGTGACAACTGTCAATTTAGAAGCAGTTTATAAGAACTGAAAGATGACAAGAAAATGCTGAGTTGATATGACAGTGGTGACAAAAATTTGCTAAGGCATGTATCCCTATAGGAAATATTTCTGCACTACAACAGTTGGCCAGTAGTCAGGGGGAATCTAATAAAGCCAGAAATGTGAAAACTTTTAACTCTTCACTCCGGGAGACTAAAGGTTTAAAACAATACAAATCACTTCCCCATATGTTTAAAAGCAGAGCTTGGTTTTTGAGCCTCATAGATGTTGGCAGAAGTGTTTGTATTATGCCTTTGGTTGGCAAGATAAACTAAAGCATTTAGAAAGAAAACACTGAAATTTTCTGCTAACAGTCTACAAAATCTATCAGTCACGCTTTACTGCCGGGACTGTGCCATCATGCTATTGCCTGGAGAGAGACACATCATGCAGGTAATGAATGATTCACTGAGAACCACAAATGAAAGTCATACCCATTTTTACTTGCTGTCACAAAGCAGCTGAGGGCTGCTCTCTGTGATTCAGTGGGGCTTCTTCTGTCCCTAAGCACTTTGTGCCTGATAAAGCTACAATGTAGACCATCTTGGTGGGCAACAATTCTGAGCAGTAGGGAAGGAGGAGGGCAAAAATCTGTGACTGCTGGTGATCTAGTCAACAATAAAGAGTGCCTGAAAAAAATTCATTCAGAGTCTAATTTGATATAGGGTACAGAGCAAGAAAAAAATCCCTAATTAAATAAGTAAGAAACAGTGCATTTTCATAGTTGGGAGGGACATAGCTGTACTCATTACAAGTATGGTCTTTATTCTGTTTTAGTCTCTATTTGTTCCCTTTTTCTGCATTATTCTCAACTTATAAACTACATCAAAGTTTTCTGAAAGAAATCAGGGTATAAATTCCAAATAAATAAATTGCTGACACTACTCTGTGTATTTAACAGAAGTATATATCATGCTGTCTCACATTCACAAACTCACATTCTCAACAAGCCTGTACTATCCCTTGGCATTTTCAGAAGCTGTATTGACTCACATCCCTGGAGCAATATTACTTCCTGTGCTGAAAGGGTTATTACCCAGCCATGCCTTGACTGCTGAGTAAGATATTGGCACACAGTCTGGTGCAATTGTGTGCTATTGTCTAGGCAGTCAGTGAAGTCCATTTTAAAATGTAATACATTTCTTATCACTAAAATGTGAAGAGATGGGTATGATAAGGAAAGAACTATATGGGAGAATATATTTAACAAGGTCCCTATTCATGTAATTCTGTTTTGCCAAGAAAAATGCATCATGTTAACATAGTGCCTGTGAGGCAGACAGATGCTGCACATGCATTTCATGACATTCCTTAATGCTTTGTTGCAACTAGAAATTCCCCACAATGAAATAATAAGAGTAGTATTGGTCCATATACTTGGCACTTAAAGGAAATCTGGGCAGGACTAAAAGAGAATGAAGTTGTTCCTATACATAAAAACCTAGGCAACTTAATCAAGTTAGAGAATCAACGGATAAGGTCAGATTTTTTTTTTAAATGCCTGTCAAATGGTTGTTTTGCTGAGCTAAGTGGCAAGATTATCTAAATGCCCCATAGGCAAGTTTTTATCCTTCATCTTCTTTTTCTTAGCAATGATTTTTGTGGAAATCTATGTATTATGCACACTCTGTTGCCAGGATACCTAAACAGCCAATTATTTCACAGAAATGGTATTTTCAATTTTTAACTAGTTGTTTTACTTTTGTAGACATGGTCTGGGGCTCTTTCTAGCATACAAGTAATTGTACTCTCATAGAATGTAGACTTTAAACTTAATGAAACTATCAATTACTAAGCATTTATGAAGTACATAACAATAACAGCTATAGTTTATTGACTACTTACTGTGTGCCAGACTGTACTATACAATTAACATGGTTTATCTCATTGAATCTTCCAAATGAGCTGTTAAGCTAGCCCATGGTACAGATAAACAGGTTCAGAGAAGAGCCAAGTCCTGGAAGAGCAGGCACAATGGTGAGGCATATCAAAATTAGAATCTAGAGATTAATGTCAGATCATGTGAAATCCAGCCCTCATGCTACAGAGGTATTCAGAGACAAGAAAGAAGATGGAGATAAACAGTCAGGAAAAGCTTGTAACTTGAAGAGAAACCTAAAGGACAAAATAGTGAGAAGGGAGGAAAATATTGTGAGCAAAGATGCCAAGGCAAATGGGTGACATTAATTAATACAAAAATTAATGGATTGGTTCAATTTTATAAGGCTGACAAAGGAAATCTCATTCCAGCTTTTCATTTCCCTTTGTATATCATGAGTTTCTAAGATAAAAGGCCAACATTTAAATACAGGTACACACAATGGGGTAGTTTATAAATGTGATGTAGCTGGATCTCAAGAAAAGACAAATATCTGATAGCTCCTAAGATATTGATTAAATACTTCATTTATGTGGATAAGGTTCTTTTTAAGCAAAATAAAATGTTATATATTATTTGTCCTTTTATCACAAAAGCCAAAAGCTCCTTCACTTTTTCACTTCTGACACTCTTTGCTAAATTCTGGGAAATCCTTGTGGTAGGATCATTCTGAAATAAGGCAGCAATTAATAATAATCTGACATCTCTGAGGACAGTTATAGGTAACACTAAAATGCCTACCCAACCCCATCATGTATAATCTCTCTCAGTTACCAGTCATGCACTCATTCAGTTTAGCTGTGAAACATCAACGGGATCTTTTTTATGTTTATTTTTGTAATTAAACTTTTGATAAGATGAAGTATGGTATTAGATCAATTATTATCTGAAAACACTCAAATCTATTCTAGAAACTGATAAGCACTATTGCTTTAATAATTTATATATTTTGAAGCTGAAAGATCATTTAATCCAATCTTCTGTAACCATAAATAAAGAAAAATTAGTTGAGTTTAATGTGCTTTAATCAATATACATTTCTAGCAATTTTCTATTAAATACCACTGTAATACTTTATTATTTTTATTCATATTACTTATAATCAGTTTTTGGTCATTTTCTTTCTACTTAATCCCTAACCATAAGTTAAAAATAGTAAACCATTTTCATTTATCCTCTCTGCTGCTTTCTAATAACAAACCAATAAATAACATACAAATGTATTAAAGAACTATTTTAAAACTTTTTTGCTGTATTCTGAAAATTTTCATTTGACTTTAAGGTAGGATGGATCTCTAACCTACAATTAGCCTATTCTACACTAATGGTTTTGAAACAACAATGTTGTATTCCATCCTTATGGTACAAGTCCTATCTATACCATAAAACCTGCTCTGATTACCTCAGTTCATTTGAAATTCTGTTTC